CACAGTAGTTGTTGCTTTCGTGGAATATTAATACTGACATCACAAATTATTCCTTTGGCAAAAAAGCCGTCTCATCATAATACTTATGTATTTTTACACCATTTTCCAACAAGCATGAACTTTCTTTTTGATCTGTTGTCGAAATTTCTTGAAATTTACTCTCTGTGCACCAATTAGGAATACAATATTTTTGATTATCTTTTACAACAACTTTTCCTTGCAGCAACAGATAATTTGTTGCAGGATAAGAAAGTATAGTTTAATTCATATTGTATTTTCTTAATTACTGAATGGTCAGTAGGAATTTTAATCCTGTTTATTGATCATGGATAGTACTTCAGTCAGAGCTTCTGGCCAAATTCTGAATTATGCATACTCTTTTTAAGTGTTCCCTTCCCACATATTGCATTCTAAGTAATTTTAAACAGTATTTTGACTTAACAATTGATAGATTTTTAGTGTAAAAATTGTAATAGAATTTGTGACATTTAGATTTTTTTATAAGAACAATGAATATTTAAAAGAGTTCTGCATCTTTAAGTACACAAATCTTCATTCTCTTCCCTAACGAGAGATAGTATTCCTTACCACTCTCTCCCACATCACACACTCTCTCCTTATTAACTCAAGTAACCACCTTTCACACCCTCCCCGGATTAAAAAGACACCTCCGTCATACCTCACTTCACACCTCACTTCCTATTTCATGGTTGCAACCTCTCCTCTTGCTCCAGTTCAAAGTGCCACTTCCCAGCTCCCAGATTACACAAAATTGCAACACAAAAATGGAACAATGGGCCCTGCTCCCCCATGCGAAAATTGATCTTCTGTTTTCAGTGTAGTTCCAATTGGATTTGATTCCTTTGTTCCATTGATCCCCCTTTTCTTTCAGCATCTATTTCACCTTAAATTTTGATGTAGTTTCTGCTTCAATCAAGAATTCCAGATGCATATGCCACAACTTCAGAAACCCCTGTTTTAAAAAAAAATCTTTTTGATCCCTGTCCTAAATCTCATGTTCAATCTTGTATCTTCATATTCACCATTTTAGACCATATTCCCTCTGGAAACAGTCTGTTTTTATGTAATTTATTGTACCCCAAACACTTTTGCCAAATCACGCTGCCTTCTCTGCATTTGTGAAAATGAGATTTTTTCGAAGCTTTTCTTTTTATCTGTATTTCCTCATAGCAGGTACTCAATTGAGGTACTCCTACTAAGTCTTCTGTGCACTTTCTGTTACTTTCAACATGGGCCTTAAAAAAAGCACTCTGGCTGCTATCTTAATTGGGAGATGTATTCTTCAGAGGAACTCCAATTCCTATCTACCATTCTATTTGGTCTTCATCTTCTTTCCCCTAGTTCAAGTGCATGTCTCCAATTCACCTTGGCATTGACCTCATTACCCACAGTCCTCCTGTGTGTTAATCCCAGCTCTTCTCCCTAATTTACCATCCCTTGACTCTTTTTAGGTGCCAAGACCATATCCTGTTTCTGCTTAAGGAACTGAATATGCCATACAAGGGAATACCTGATTGTTAGGAAGACACTTAATATTTAGTATTAAGGTGTAGAGCTGGATGAACACAGCAGGCCAAGCAACATCATAGG